AACAAACAAAATACCATTGCATTTTAGTGAGAAGTAGTCAGTCCCCCAGCCAAAACTATAAATGAATGTCATTTGGGGGTAGAAACAACACGGCACTTCATATTTATCAAGTTTTCAATCCTTCCTACAAACAAATTCTCTAAACAGCCTTGTGAGGCAGTGGGCAGGCTAAAATTATGTTGGGTTTACCTTTGGAAATGTAGTCTTCTGAACAGAATAAGGTCCATTTCTATAGTTCAGGTGCAATAAATAGGAACTAATAACATGCAAGCTATCATTTCATTGTATAATTTGCTCTAACATAGGCCATTTTTCCCATCTGGAAATTAGTTGAGTGAGCTATGCTCCATGCCCTCAAAACTTAAAATTTTGTGGGTAGACATGAATGTAAGCAAGTAAAAGATGGAGGCTCAAATTTTGCCTAAAGGTAAGAATATTCTCTACCATTGTTGCTGGCATATTATTTTAATAAATCCTCACAATACCCTTTGAGGTGGATGCTATCATTATTCCCATTTCACAAATGAGGAGACTGTGACACAGAGAGGTTAAGTAACTTGCCCAGGTCACACAGCTATTCAAGTGGGGAACTATGATTTGAACCCAATCTGGCTCCAGTTAGGGTTGGAGACAGGCCTGGGTACCAGCTTGGGTTTCACCACATACTACCTAACTTTTCGGACCCTCGGCTTCCTAATCTATAAAATAGGGAACAACCATACCCAGCTCACAGGCTTTTGCGAGGAGTATTCAATAGGATTACATTCGCAAAGTGCTTGACACAGGGTCTTTAGCATGGCTGGCACCTGTCATGAGGGGAACAAACATTTAAACACTCAAGACTTTTTTTTTTTCCTAAGATGCTATCTTTTAACCTCCCCTATTTGCCTCACCAACTGGTAAGGCACCACTAATGGAGGACTCAGCTAAGCAGGGTAGGATTCGGGGCTGCCGACCCTTCCTCCTCCCTACCTTGCTATGTCCTGAGGAGTAATAAGATATCAATAGATGAAGACATGGAATAACAGCATCCCAGAGTAGTTCAACCACATTTTTTGAGTTATTTATTGGTTGCGAGTCACGTAGCAAGCGCCATAACAGGCACCATGGTGACTAAAGCACTAAGACACGGCCCTATCCACAAGGAGTTCGAAGCCCCATAGGGGAGAACACACATTTAAAAAAAATAATAATAATAATCAAGGGCGCCTGCGTGGCTCAGTCGTTAAGCGTCTGCCTTCGGCTCAGGTCATGATCCCAGGGTCCTGGGATCGAGCCCCACATCGGGCTCCCCGCTCGGCGGGAAGCCTGCTTCTCTCTCTCCCACTCTCCCTGCTTGTGTTCCCTCTCTCGCTGTGTCTCTCTCTGTTAAAAAATAAATAAAAAATCTTTAAAAAATAAAATAAAATAAATAAATAAAAAATCAAATACCCAGCGTATAACGTAGGTAATCTGTTGCATGAAGCTGTTCAGGAAAGGCAATGGTTCAGTGTCCGTGCAAAGGGCCTCACCATCGTGGTGCTCACATGGTGTGCCCTGCTCAAACCATGAGGCCATGCTGGTCCTCCCCAGTCTGTGCCTTGCAAAATTCCCAGAGCATCCTTCGCCTCTATATCTTCATTCTGAAGCTTTGCCTTGGTGGTTCTCAATGCTCGGCCATGATAAGGCCTCCACTCACAGAGATTTGGCAAAGTCAAGTCAGTATCTGATGTGAAGGTAATTGTCTAGAAGACATGGCCTAGCACATTCTTTATCCTGAGGGGCTCGGCATGCCAAGGCTTCCCAGTAGAAACCTTGTGTTTGAAGAAGTGTCAAGTTAGATTTTTAGTGGTGAGGGAAATCTAAAGCAGTCACTGACACTTCAGAAGAAGGCTGGGTTAAGATATGATAACCACAAGCTTTTTTTTTTTTTTTGAGAAAGAGGATGGAGCTGAGGGACTAGAGACAAACACTGAGGCTTCCTGAGATTAGTTCTTTTTTTTTTTAAGATTTTATTTATTTATTTGACAGAGAGAGAGAAAGAGAGCACAAGCAGGGGGAGTGGCAGGCAGAGGGAGAGGGAGAAGCAGGCTCCCCGCTGAGCAGGGGGAGCCAATGCAGGACTCGCTCCCAGGACCCCGGGACGATGACCTGAGCCAAAAGCAGTCGCTTAACCAACTGAGCCACTCAGGCACCACCTTAGTTCTTATCCCCCACCCAAAAAAAGGTGATTTCCTACTTATGCTTGAATTTTAGAAGTCAAAAAACTTTGACAAACTTTCAGCCACTCAACTCTTTGTAGCTACTGGCTGTGTAACAAAAGACCACAACCATCTCCGTGGCATTCAACAATAAACACTGGTTTCTTGCTAAAATATCTGTGGGGCTACTGAGGTGTCTGCTCCATGCGTCCCATCCTGGGACCAAGGTTGGAGCAGTGGCTACCCAGGGCATATTCTTGCCATGGCATTCACAGAAACATAAGAGGACAAGACCAACCCACAAGCACACACACCAGATCCTCTGCTCACATCACATCCACCAGCATCCCACAGACCAAAGCAAGTCACATGGCCAAGTCCAACATCAAGAATCAAAGAAGTATAGGGGAAGCTGGGTGGCTCAGTCAGTTAAGTGTCTGCCTTCAGCCCAAGTCATGATCCCAGGGTCCTGGGATAAAGCCCCACCTTGGGCTCCCTGCTCAGCAGGGGAGTCTGCTTCTCCCTCTCTGCTCCTCCCCTTGCTGTGCTCTCAAATAAATAAATAAATAAATAATCTTAAAAAAAAAAAAAAGAACCAGATAAATACATATCACTAGGAAGCCATGGGTTATGTGGGAAGGAGAAAAGAACTAGTACTGATAATCCCCTTTACAACACTCTCTAATCCTGAAAGGGAAACGTTAGAGGCTCTATTTTTTTTTTCTTGATAGCTCAAAAAACTGAGCCTCCAGAATTTAAGTCATTCATCCAGGTCAGACAGCAGTATGATGCTCTAGCAGAATGAGAATTCAAATCTCCTGCCTTCTGTGGTTTCTAGAGTGATGTAGCTTATTGACATGTAACTAACAGACATCTATAATAATCACATCCCTTAATTATGCTCCCTTGCAGAACTCAGTTCTCTCCAACAAAGGCCAGACCCAGCATTGTCCCATCTGTTAGCATGATCATAGTGTTTATCATTTGTGTAGGACCTTCTGCAGTGTTTTTACAAGCTATTTTTACTATTACCACACTAATAAATTATTTGTGGTGGGAAACCTGAATCAGAAAACTCTGGCTACTTGAAAACAGACTTTATTAAAAACATCTCCTTCCCCCTCCAACATGCACCCTCCCAAGGCACACCCACAATTATTTTGCCCTACTCTAAGCCTTAAAGATTGCACAAAGTCTGTGGAACGGAAGACACTTGTAGATGGCTGCCGAGAAAGGAATATGGAGGGAATATGGAGTTTGAAACTAATTCCTGAGCATGCAGTTTTAACTTGCAGCGACTGCTTGGTGCAGTCTAATCGCCCAATAGATCAGACTGTGAAGCATCACAGCTAGAAGTCATGAAGGGCAAGCAGCTATCCTGATGCCAGCAACCTCCCACAGCCTCCCATTCACCTACTCAAATAGTGACTGAAGGTCTAACTTTTAGCCTGGCAAGGTGCTGGGATGCCCCTTGAACCAGACCGACCAGCTCTCAAGGAGTTGACATTCTGCAGAGAGGGATGGAGAGGGATGGACTGTACAAATAAAGAGTAAAACTGAACAGGGTAGTTTCAGATTGTACTAAGGACTGTGAAGAAGCCAGCCTTACCAAATCGGGGAAGTCACTGGCTTAACTCTTCTCTGGGGCCCTCTGTACACTCATCTGGAAAACCGTGCAGCTCCCCGCCCCCCGCCCCGGGCCGCTCGCCCCAGTTTAAGACGATTAGGTTAAGGAGCTAGTTGGTGAGGGTCTCGGCACCTGCGCCCGGGCCAGGCCTGCTCGCCGCACTTCCTTTAGTCCCCGTCGGTCGGGCGGAGGGCCTCTCCCGGAACGCTCACCAAAGCTAAACAAAACTCCCCGCCTGCTGTTTCCCGGAGAAGAATTAACAGCCCAGAGGATGTCGCCCGGCGGGAAGGAGGGGAGGGTGCAGCGGGTCCTCAAAACAAAAGCCCAGCCCCGGGCGCTGGAGCGAGGCTCAGGCGCCTCTAACATGCTCGGGGCGGCGCTGTGCGGAGCCGGGCGTCCCAGACGTAGGCACTGCGCGCTCAGGGTGCCGAGAGTAGGTTGGGGGACTGTCCCTGCTGTCTGCTCCCACCCCGCAGGCATCAGACGCCGCCCGGCCTCCCTGTCCTTCTCCTTCCTTTGCCACCCTCGGACTCGGGCCTGGCAGCGGACCCATTAACGGCAGTTCGGGGGTGGGGTGGGGGCTGTCCCCCTTCCCCACGGCCGCCTCGCAGGGGTAGCCCTCTTCCGCCCCAGAGCCGGGTTGAGGCGGCGAGAGAGGCCAGGAGGCTGCCGTCCCCTCCCCCAGCCCTGCTCTCGGCCGCTCTGTGCTCCCCCCAACCCCCGTTCCCCAAGGGCCGTTGTGATTGCGGGACTCGATGTGACAGCAAGGGGCTAGGGGCGGCGGGGGGGGGTGTATCCCTCCTCCCCAGCCCCGCCCAGGAGTGACCCAGACGCCGCTCGGGTCTCCTTCCCGCACCTCGCCAGCCCGGGAGCGGCGGAAGGACCGGGCGCGTCTTCCCGAGCGCCGGGTCCCGCTCTCCCGGCGGCGGCAGCTGCGCCCGGGGGGGCGGGGAGCGGGTGCTGGGGGGGGGGGCGGAGGCGGAGGCGGAGGGGAGGCGGGAGCCCCGGCCTGGCAGCACGGCTTCAAGTTTCCACCGGCGCGTGGTTGTGCAAGAGCCGGAGGAGCGGGAGCCGCGAGCGCCTCGGAAAACAAGCCGAGCCCATAAACAAAGCCACGTGGGCTCGGGCGGGAGGGGGGGGGGCCGGGCTGAGAGCAGGCGGCTCTTCCGGCAACAAAGGGCCGGAGCCTGCGGCCCGGGATAAATAGTGCGGCCGCGACGGCGGCGCAGCAGTCCGGCCAGCCCCGCGCGCCCTGCGGCCCTCCCCAGCGCCGCGCCCTCTGCGAGCACAGGCGCTGGGCTCCGCAGCCGCCCCCCGTCGCCGGCTCCGGCGCCCGAGCACCCGCCCCGGGCGGCACTTCCCCGAGGCCGCCCAGCCGGTCCAGTCCGTCAGTCCGTCGAGTCCGTCGCGTCTTCCCCGGTGCCATGCCATTCCTCGGGCAGGACTGGCGGTCCCCCGGGCAGAGCTGGGTGAAGACGGCCGACGGCTGGAAGCGCTTCCTGGATGAGAAGAGCGGCAGCTTCGTGAGCGACCTCAGCAGGTGAGTGGATCCGCCACCAACTTCCAGCCCCGCGAAACAGACCTGGGCTGGTTTCGGGGGCGCCGGGCGGGTGAATCGGGGGCAGGCAGGACTGGAACAGGGTGAGGAGGGGAGCCCCGGGCCGGGGGGTGGGGTGGGGAGTTGACAGCGTTTCTGCAGAGGTCGCCAGAGCACGGGATTCGGAGAATTTGGTTTCTCTGGTTGTTCAAGGTCAGCGTCTCCGAGCGGGCACAACTCTACAGACCCCCGGTCCCTCTGAGAATCTGACGATAACCGCGGATCTTGCCCGCAAACGTTCAAACTTAAGCACACAACTTCAGGGGACCCCTGTCTTAAGGACACGAGGCGCGCAGTTTGCCCGTGCGGGGGCGCGGGCGAGTGGGCTGCGCGCCTGTCACCGCTGGGGCGGCGGGGCTCGGAGCGCCCAAGGGCTGTGGGCACAAGTCGGGTGACGCGATGGGTCCTGGGTCCAGCACCTCCGGGCTCTTCCCACGCGCAGGCGACCGCAGAGTGGGCAGGGAGGATGAGTAACCAGGAAGGGGTGGCCAGATGGTCCCCTGGGCACCGGCGCTTGCGGGGCGGACTTGAGGAACCGGGGTGAAGACTTGCGGCGGCTGCAGAGCTGCGGAGGAGGGAAGGGGGGCGGGCATGGAACCCACAAGCTTTCTGCTTCTGAAAGGACGAAGCGTTAGCACCTGTTTCCTCGGGTGGAGGGGGGGGCTTTCGGTCAGTTTCCTGGCCGAAATAATTTCAAGTGATGGCTATCGACTGCAGAAAGCCCACCTGGCTCAGGAAAGGTCCCACCTGAGCTCTGTCAGTCTGGTGGAAAAGCTGAGTTCCGCTCGATCGGGTGCTCCGCTTGGTTCATAACACAGGAGTGCTGTCTATTAAGTTAAGTGGTCTGGAATCTGTCAGTCCCGGATCTCAACAGTCGACTTTCAGATCCCCATTTGGCACAGGTGAGAAGGGCAATGAAAGTGGGTCCAGGGCGCCTGGGTGGCTCAGTCGTTGAGCGTCTGCCTTTGGCTCAGGTCATGATCCCGGGGTCTTGGGATCGAGCCCCGCATCGGGCTCCCTGCTCCGCGGGAAGCTTGCTTCTCCCTCTCCCACTCCCCCTGCTTGTGTTCCCTCTCTCGCTGTGTCTCTATCAAATAAATAAAATCTGAAAGGAAGAAAGGAAGGAAAGAAGGGCCAGAGGGAATCAGTGCAGCCCAGCCATCCTTGGGGGCCTTTTCTCACAGCCTTTGGTTGAAACCACTGGCCCCGGAGCCCTTAAATTGATTTCGGTGATGAGTTCTGTAACTGGATGGGGTTCCCGCTTACTGAGATTTACCAGTGATTTTTTTTTTTTTTTTTTTGGCTGAGCCCCTGGCACTCAATTTTAAGAAAACTATCCAAGTATGGTTATTTTGATAGCTTGACCTCCAGAGCACCCCCTCCCCCAGGCTGTCTGTGGTTTGTAAAGCGTTAAAACTCCTTTAGTCTTCCAATGAAAAAACAAAAAACCAAAAAGCATTTAATCCTAGGGGTCTGTCAGGAGAGATAAGAGCATATATAACTCTTACGTTAAAGATCCTTTGAGGCAGTTCCAGTGGAGTTTGGGGAGCAAATAAGAAATCTCATTTATGGAAAATCAGACCATTTACTTATAGTAAGAATAAAAAGACCAACGGCTGTCACTAGACTCTTCCCTTTTAGGGATGCAAGTTACCAATTATGCCTGAATTATTCTCCCTAGACTAGAAGGTTCCTTCCTTCCTACTCGTTCCTAAGGATGATCTGCTAGTTCAGTACTTTATTTCTGTACAACAGTTCAGATTCTCTCTGGGGAGGTGCAGCAATGATCTATCTGCTGAATGGTGTCGCAGCGGCTCACCCAGATAAAATTGTAGGATGCTCTTCAGTAGGATGCAGACCATTGGGCTCAGCAGGAATACAGAGCCTCTAGTTCCTATAAATATTCACACTCTATCTGCTCCAGGAGATAAGCTGGTTTCACTCCCCTTTAGGAGCAAATAGTGGTGCCTCTCTGGCCATAGTATGGGAGACCTGAAGATGGTTTTAATTTACCACAGAAGTTTAACCTAGGCTGGATCAGGTAGCTTCACACCCCTCTGTCCCCTTCATGAGCCTCCTTTCTCTCCTCCCATTTCCTGCCTTCTGAGGTGTGGCACTGCCATAGTTATAACAAATGGTGATCAATATAGGGACCACCTGTGGCTCTGGGATGAGTCAGAGTTTAGGAATCATCTGGTAGCTCCTAGCAAAGCAGCTGGCTGTTTGTGGAGTATTTTTTTTTTCCTCCATCAATTGTAAACAATCTCTTCCCTACTTAGCATGAGAAGTCTGCCAACTTAAAAGCAGTTGGCCTTCTGAGACCTAGGTTTGTAGTCTCAAATATCCCCACTGTTTTTAGCCTTGGTGATGTTTCTCTGTGATGTGAGGTTTGGGCTGAATGCCTGCCTACACAGGTGAAGCTGAATGCCTCTCCTGTTAGGAGAAAACAAAAGGCAGACCCTTTCAAAAGGGGGAGGAACAGGAACGGGTAATAAAACAGAGAACTCCAGAGGCAGAGTACACTTCTCTAATTCCATGCACCATCCTGTGAGCTGCCTGAACAAGGGTAGGGAATGAAGGGTGCCTTTGGTGTGTCCCGACCTGGGGACAGTGTTTAGTGTTGACCACGGCATGTCTGCACAGCACACCTTCTCTGGACTCTGCTGGCCACTGTCTCCATGTTCCGAGCCCCATCCCCCTCCAACAGCAGAACGGTACTAAGCCCATGCCAGCTCGGAACCCCTTCTCACCAACAACCTCCCCCCGCCCCGACTCCCGCCTCACCCACCCCCAGGATGAGTAATCTCAGCGATGGTGAGCCTCAGGCCCCTCTTCTCCAAGTCTACAGTCCTGCAGCTGAAAACACCAATGCTGCTTTCCAGTATAGTTAAGGCTGAACCAGGAAGCAGGAAGTTTACCTTGGTACCCTGGATGAGTAGTGCAGGAGACAAAAATAATAGTTCAGATTTTTATGAGTGCTTACTGTGTGCCAGGAAGCCACTGGTCTATGAGCTTCATATATTAGGCTGTTTGTTTTACCAAAACAATCTGGGTGCTAGCCAGGGGAGTTTGACCATTTGGGTATGGATGGGAGCAAATTAGCATAGAAACCTCCCTGGCCTTACTCTACTACTAAGCCCTTTGGAGCAGTCACAGCTTTCTTAAATGCCCTGTTAATGCAAACAAAATGAGAAATAGGCCTCTTTTTTTCCCTTCCCTCCCTTTTTATCTCCTTTGCCCAAAAGGTCTTAATTTGGAAATCTTTCCACCTTTTCTAAAGTTGTCTTTCAGTATCTTGGTATGTGTGTGTTGATAGTATAGGGCTGGGAGAGGTCATTTTTTCTTATTCTAGGCCTGTGCCTATAAAAATCAAGATTAGTAAAAACTGACCACAAAATAGCAACTTTATTTTTTTTTAAGATTTTATTTATTTATTTGACAGAGAGAGAGACAAGGAGAGAGGGAACACAAGCAGGGGGAATGGGAGAAGGAGAAGCAGGCTTCCTGCTGAGCAGGGAGCCCGATGCGGGCCGGGGCCAACCTCAGGACCCTGGGATCGTGACCTGAGCCAAAGGCAGACGCTTAATGACTGAGCCACCCAGGCGCCCAAAATAGCAACTTTAGTGGCTATTATTGAATTTAATGAAGAAAGTAGCCTCTTTAAATAGTTTTTGCTTTAAAAAAAAAAAAAAAAGTCAAGGGTTCCAAAATGGCGGTGGCTTTTCTTGTTAAAATTTTCAGTTGTGGGGCGCCTGGGTGGCTCAGTCGTTAAGCGTCTGCCTTTGGCTCAGGTCATGATCCCAGGGTCCTGGGATCAAGCCCCGCATCAGGCTCTCTGCTCGGCGGGAAGCCTGCTTCTCCCTCTCCCACTCGCCCTGCTTGTCTGTCAAATAAATAAAATCTTTAAAAAAAAAAAAAATTTTTTTTTCAGTTGTAATTTTCCATTGGCTTTGCATTTCCTTGAAATGGAGATAATTGAACTCTCAAAATTATTGCTTGACAGAAAACCTATAAGCAGGCAACACAAATAAATCTCCTAGCCCTTCCTTCCAGGCCCTACCTCAGGAATCCAAAACCTAATAACCAAGAGAAAAGTGCAGGGTTTGTCTTTGGTTGAAGCTTTATCTACATTCGACAGTGGGAGAGCATCATCAATGATGTCAAATTCTTCTTAAACTAACTTTGGAAATGAGCCACTTTGCCTTAAAGCAGATCATTGTCATTTCTATAAGGAAGGCAGGTGCTCAAACTCCTTTGGGTAATGTTCTCAATTAGAAGAGAGTAAGATAAACTATAAATACTTAAAATTTCTGGGGAATGGCCACAGTCTATGGCCCAGGCTCTGAAAACTTTCTGCTAGATCTCAAATGTGTGATTAAGAGAATAAAACCACTTCATTTTATGGTTCTCTACAGGTGGAATTTAGGCTCTTGGTTTTCATTCATGGTGCATGAGTGTGTTTTCTTTAAAAATAAGCCTTCATGTGGCCTCTTTACACACAAAAGGTTCTAACTTTGCTTTCTAAAGCTATTCTCAGCTTTGGTATATCATGGACCAGTCAAATGACCTTCCCTCTTTTTCCCTTCCCCTCAACTTTGATTGAAATTTCTTGGTGGCTCTAAGGACTCAAGAGTTCAGCTCTCCCTTTGTTCTGCCCCTCTTTTCCTGCTGAGCTGGGAGCAGGTAACTGGTTGCTCAGTGCTTCTGTATGCTCTAGTCATGCAGGTAGACAAGCACCCGCTTCTGTGTGTCACAAAGCCTGGCCCCAAACATTCACCCTTGGCTTGCTTAAGAAACTGTCTCTAAGAGAGGGTATTTCTGCAGTAATCTCTGTGAAACCTAAAAATATCCTGTTTCCCCTGAATGAAAAGAAGGCTATAGTTATTAGGAAACTCAGTAAATGGCCTTCCTGTGGCAGATTAACAAATGATTATCCATCAAGCTCCTCTCTATGGGTCCAGAAACACCAAGTATATTGTTGGTGATGTCACGTGTGTTTATGTAGCAAGATACTTATTGAAGTGCTACTTGAGAAGTGATTGCAGCAACAGGATACTGGAAATTGTTTTAAACCCTCTTTTCTCTTTTACTATTTACATAATGTCCATGGAATGGAGAAGCGCAGGTGTGCCTCATTTTACCCAACAGATGTATGTCAGAAGATCTGAAGCAAATCCCATTTTAAATTTCAGCAGAGGAACTCAGAAAATTAAAGGACTCTGATATATTGGTCATAGAAGAAAAAGCCCCCAGTTTATGTTTTCCCAGTGGGCATTATAAATCCTGCCTTGCTCATCCATATCCATGGGGTTTGGGGAAGCTACTCACTATTCCTGATATTTCTCTATCATCCCTTCTACAGAAACTCTTCAGAGACTCACTGTACAGTTACATGGTGTAATAGCCTAGAACTCAGCCTACTGACGGAAATATGCACCTGACCCAAGTTGAACCTGTGCATCCTTCAGTGACCTGTGATTAGGGCCCTTCTGTCTTTTCAGTCCTTATAAATTTATGAACTGTGAATTCAGCTGGTTTCATTTAGGACCCGAGGTCTTTACCCCACAGCATGATGCCTAGTGTTAGTCACGGAATTACATGAAACTTAAACAATTAGCACTGTACACTAAACATCTCCTAGAAATGGGGGGTATAAGTCCGATTTTTGGCAAATGTGATCATGTTTCAAAGGCATGATAGAAGCATACTCTTTAAAAGCAGCTTGGGTACACTTTAAATGGGTGGATTGTATGGTATATGAATTCTATCTCCATAAAGCTGTTTTTTTGTGTGGGTTTTTTGTTGTTGTTGTTTGTTTTTTTAGAAAGCAGCTTAGGGTGGATGCTTTTACAAAATGAAGGCATTGTGGACTACAGTGATACCAGTAATCTTCCCTCTCCCTCCCCACTGCAGTCATCATTTTTGCTTAAAGTAATATTGTAGTGCCCGGCATAGCCCTTAGTAAAAGGGTGCAGGGCTGTGTATCCAACACAATGGCAGGCACTGTTGGAAATTCAAAAGAAGTAGAAGCCCCCATCCCTGCCTTCCACAGAGCTATGAGAATATTTCATCCCCAAAGAGGAAGGTCTGTGCCTGAACAGACTTCTTTTCAGGGGGGTTTACTGTTTTGTTTGGGAAGATGTATGTTTGTGTTTTATAACCCAGTAAGTTATTTATAGAAACAGCTCTTACTAAAGTGTAGCTGTCACAGCTCATCCCCTGTTCTGTTGTTCCTAGTTACTGCAACAAGGAAGTCTACAACAAGGAGAATCTTTTCAACAGCCTGAACTATGATGTTGCAGCCAAGAAGAGAAAGAAGGACATGCTGAATAGCAAAACCAAAACTCAGTGTAAGCCATTTGTTCTGAACTTGGAAGAAAGCTGTTTGAAGATCCTTAGGATGGGTTCTTGGTCGGGGGCGGGGGGAGGGGGTACCAGACCCCGAATGTGAGACATCTGCTTTAATGCTGTGTCATTGACAGAGGTTACTGGGATCTTTGCACTCAAACTGGCTGTGCATTTTACAAGCAAGATTAATGTGTACTTTATAGTCTTGTTTATAAGTCAGTTGGTAGTTGGGGTGTTTTTCTCCTGCTTGTCACTTACATCTGACATAGTTAATTTAGTTATTATACAGTGATATGGTCAGCTGAATCAGTTCCAGCATGTGTTTTTATTTGGCATTGGGCTTTGAGGCTTTGGAAATAGATCTGTTTCTCCCTCTTTCCTTGTATAAATACCATTACATTTCTAGATGCCATATGTAAGAGTATAAAGTTCTATTGGTAAGCGGGAATTACAGATCTTTAGTTTAATCCACCTGTACAAGATGATTTCCTCATGTTACCTGCTTTATTTCTACTTTTTATGGCCTTGTATAAGTTGTAGGCTTGGCATTCAAAACAAACTTGTCCTTGGGTATTTGGTTTTTTTGGTTTTTGGTTTTTTTTCAATTTGGAGCTTTGGTCTATTAAGTCTGATAATCAAAGATTTGGAGTGCTTCAGACCAAGTGAGCTATAACACCAGTATGTATGCACTGCAGATGTCAGGCGTTTGCATCTCTTAGATTGTTAGTAGAGTCTTCATCTTTTTTGTCAAAACGTTCAACACTCTGGAATACATAAAAAAGAAACAAGTTTAAAATTTGGGGCATGTTGCAAATTTTAAAGCTGTGTGGGGTTTTTGGGGTTATTTATTTTTTTTTTAATTTTATTTTTTTTTTTATTTTCTTATTTACTTATCTATTTACTTATTTACTTATTTATTTACTTATTTATTTACTTATTTACTTATTTACTTATTTATTTATTTACTTCTTTACTTCTTTACTTCTTTACTTCTTTACTTCTTTACTTACTTATTTACTTATTTACTTATTTACTTATTTATTGATTGATTGATTGCTTGCCTCTGTAGATTTCCACCAAGAAAAATGGATCTATGTTCACAAAGGAAGTACTAAAGAGGTGAGCATTCATCTGTCGATTAAAGAATATGCTTAGCTTTAGGCCTCTCCCGACAGGGTAGAGGGGGGGAAACTGGGCAAGAATATTACTTAAGATCATGGCTGTCTTCTTGGGCGCAGGTAGTAGTGACTGCCACCTACCCAACCATCAGAGTTTAGGGCTAGAGAGAGAGCGAGAAGCAAAAGTTGCTGGGCGGGCTCCCCGGTCATTCAGTGAGACAAGTGTTTGGTGGTTGTTAGCCTTCTTTCTCCAGTCTTTTGTTCTGAGATCTCTTCAGACTCCACCTTTGTTAAGTTTTAGCCCTAGAAGGGCTAACCACTAAACACAGCAGAAGTTTTAGTGCCTGTGCAGGGGACAAGACATGGTAATAAGTACATTTGGCACTTTATAAGAGCCTTTTATGTACATTTTCTCTCTGCACAGGCATCTGCTCAGATACCTAGGATACAACACAGTATGGCAGAATGATAGAATTTCTGTCACTGTCAGGGACCTTGGTGAATTTGTACATCCTTGTGTGGTTCGAGGCTCTGCCGGGGGGTCAGGAACATACCCGTGACCACCCAGATACTTGGAGCAGAGCTGGGACGGAGTCAGGGCTCTCTGCTCCCAGTTCCTTGTGTGTTCACAGGTAAAAGATCAACACTTCTTTTTGCTTCCTCGTGAAGCCTTAAAAATGCTTCTGATGATCACAGTGAGAAAAGCACTAAAGATACGAGGTAGCACACAGAGCTGACACCAGGAAATGTAATTCCCCTCCCAGGGTATGTTACAGTGACCAGCTATCATCATGTCACCCATCAGACATCCAGCTCCTGACCTTCCCTTGATAAGCAGCTACTTATGATTTTCCTATTCAGCTTTGTGCAAGGGCTCAAATGGTACAAATCATGAGGAGGGGTGTTTAACACGTGAGTCACTGACTAAAGCAGCTGTTGGCTACTCTGCCCATCGTTATGGCTCGCAGGGGGTTCCCAGAAAGAGCTGCTCACAGCAGGAAAGCCACAGATGGCCACAGGTCACCTGAGACAGGCACCCAGCTTGTCAGTAGAGTCCAAGGGGATTGTTCTGGAGAATGACCTCTGCGCCCCCTGTTTTCACGTTCAGCGCCATGGATACTGCACTTTGGGGGAAGCTTTCAACAGGCTGGACTTCTCAACTGCTATTCTGGATTCCAGAAGATTTAACTACGTCGTACGGGTAAGTCTCTGTAGGTTTCGAGTCTCAGTTGAATTGTCTTTTCAGGTTGTCTTGAGGTAGTTTCCTGCCCTCCCCCCCAAAATAACTTCTTAGGACCCTGGGAATTTTGAGGAAAGCAGAAAACAGATTTGTCAACTCCCCTCTCTCTAGATGTACTTCACATCCTTACATGGATCCCATTGGGATGTCCCTGACATTGGCTGTGACAGACAGCAGTGGCCATAATACTCCTGTGAGCCACTCCCAGCCCACGGATGAAGGGGAACACACTGCAGGCAGCAAGGGCTCTGGCAGCAACATTAGCAAGAGTGAATTCAGTAGCAAGCAAGCCAGGAAAACACCATGGCTTGTTTTAAAAACCTTGTGTACCTCGGGTTCTTCTCACTGTCCTCCTCGTCCTGCTTGAACGGACTCTCGGTGACCCCAAGGCAGTCGTGGTTTAGGCTACAAAACCAGAGGAGTTCAGAGCACCCCTGAGTTTCTTGCCCATGACTCCCTTCCACCCCCATGGGATAACCTATTCGGTTTTTGGTCTCGCGTTCACTAAAACTTGAAACTACCTGTTTGGACCACTTGCTTTCCATTTGAAACCCTATGTTGGGGGGGAGGGGATTTTTTTTAATAATGAGCTTTAGCGAAATATTCATGATGAACGGAGTAAAGCAAATGAGTCTAACCATACCCCTCAAGTCCATGATTCTTTTTAATCAGTTTATGATTGTTTCCCCCACTCTTAGCTGTCTTATGCGTTTCTGTCAGTGGTTCAACCGGGGAGGTCATGGCTGTTTGGGTGTTGGTTGGTTGGGTTTTTATTTTCTTTCTCCCTGGTTGTTGTGCTACTCCATGTCGGGTCACTGAGTCAGATGATTGCACAGCTCAGCCAGAGCGATGACATCAAGCCCCCTTGAGGCCTGGATCATTCACCTGTCTTCTGGGCAGATGCAGGCCTGGCTGTCCCAACGGACCTGATACCCAGGCCTCCTTGGAGGTCAGAAGCTCTGAGCTGAGCGTGTGACCACATAAGCAGATCTGTCCGCTCTCAGCTGAGCCCTTATTGCCATCCAAAAGGGATGAACATGAGAGAGCTTCTGGATGAGATGCTCGTGTCATTCAGTGTGACTCTGCCCCTCCGGCAGAGATCCCTGTGGCCTGCAGCCCAGCCCAGGCTGGGTGGAGAGAGGCCTGGCAGGAAGCTGGAATCTCTGTTGCTAAGAATATGAATAGTTTCCATGTTCTAGGTGTCAGGGGAGGACACCCAGTGCTGACGTCTTCATTGCAAACGGATCAGCAAAATGGTCCGTTCTTAGATGGTTCTCTTTCCTACCTATTTTTCTTTCACAAGAAATAAGGCAAAGGGACAAGATCACAATAGCCAAAATCTATTTCCGCGTAATTATGTGCACTCACCTTTATCCTTTCATTAACCCTATGGAGTGTGGGAACTTGGATGATCTGTTTAAACAAAGGGGAGTACGGCAAGGTAAAATGACCTGCTCAAGGTCACAAAGCTACGTAAGCAACAAAATCGGAATCCAAAACCTGGTCCGTCTTAGAGTCCACACTCTCAACCGCTACAGGGAGTCCTCTGCAAACAGAGGATGGAAACGTACAATGGTCTGAGGTCAGGTGGCGTCTCCACTACATTCAGGCTAGTTCAGCCTCCCTGAGACTCCGCTGCCCCTTCTATGAGGATTTACAACAACCTCACAGGGTAGCTGTCCACTCGGTAATGTGTTTTCTGTGGAGATACCCTGCAAACCAGAATCTGTTATTCAGGGTCAGCTACAATATTATTACCTACTAACCAAAATTATTATTGATTCTCCCTAATATGCCTTTTCAGGCCAGTTGATAAATGTTTTTCTCCTTAAAAAAAAAAAAAAAAAGAAGTCTTGCACTTGATAAAGACCCAGCATAGAGCACTGGTATCTGATAGTATCTAATTGTAAACTGTGAGCACTTTTCCTTAAATAATCTTTAAGTCAGAGAAACTGCTACATGCTTTCAGAGTTGTCAGGTTCAGCCGTAGTGGAAAAATGTTTCTATTTTGGAAAGAGCCATCTTTTTTTTTTTCCCCTTCACTGTTAGAGTCCTCTATAATTTGAGAAATAATGTTATTTTTATAAAGAGCTTAAAACATTTTAATGATAGGCACTGCGTTCTGAGGGTTTCCTATAAGACACTCTAAGCACATCTCATATATACTTCTTATCCTAAAGCCAACTTTGCAAAGTAGCTTGCCAATATGTCCTCCCCATCTTACTACCTCCACCTAATGGTTTCCTAATACAGTACTACAGTGATTCCTTAGTTCCAGTGAACGACTGAACCAGCTTTGAAAGCCTTAAAAAAAAAAAAAAAGTTTTTTAATTCTTTAAAGCCAAGCACATTTTTTTTTTTAAAATGTGTTGTGTTCATGCTGGCTGTCATCTTCAGAAACAGACCATGCAGAGAGAATAAAAGAGATGGCTAACAGTGCTATCTCAAGATTTCATCATTTTTATCAGTAAGTATGAAGCTTTTATGGAATGTTTTGAATCAAAACTTTTGAAATATAAACTGGAAAGGTTTTCATATGGCATTTGTACCTTATTTCGATAGGCTTCGGGTTCTACTCACTGCCTTCACCCCCTTCCCTACACACCCCCAGTGGCTTAAATACAATTTTAACTGTGGGTTTTAAAGAGGATTTAAAATCTTTAGAGGCAACAACTTACCCATTTTATGAAAGGTCGTTTTAAAAATTGGTTTACACCGTGCCTCTGGGCCAACACGTTTTGGAAATCCCCCTGGGGAGCTGGTGAGGATTCTAGGGGCTGGGCTGGTGGTGGGCTTGGCACTTGGTCACCACGAGGAGGTGAGTGCTGATTAATGGAGCTAGGGCACAGAGAGGCCATTGGGGAATGTGGGTCTCCAGTAAACCAGGAGAGGGTTTTGGAGGTCACACACCGACTCATGGCTCTCTGAAGTGAGCCTGCTGTGGCCCACTGGTTCTCATTTGAGCTGGCTGCACATTAGAATAGCCAGCAAAGCCTGTTGGTCTACAGAAGCCCACCTCTAAAGCATCTGATTTAATTAGTTGAAGGTGGTGCCCACACATTGCTACTTAAATTTGTCCTTCAGGTGATTTCAAGTTTGTTTTCAAGTTTGAGAACCAGCTCAAAAAACTACTGGGAGCCCAAAAGCCATATTTTGCATATGGCATTTTTAAACAAGATACAGCAAGGCACACAGGCAGGAGAGGATCTTAATGCTTTAATGCCAGGATGTCCTCTGACCTGGTCTCTCAGCTCTCTCTAAGGGCTGTCGATGCCCCCTCCAGACCAGCAAGGTCCTGGGGGAACCTTGAGGGCCACTCCTGACTGGAATGAATGGACCCATAGGTGCTAGCAGATCAGAAAGGACAAGCAAAAGCTTGCAACCCCACTCTCTAGCCCTCTGCAGCAAAAAAGGACATCACAACCTAAACCCAGGCACATTCTTATTTTTTTTCTGCATCACCACCCTAAGATCATTTGAATGTTTCCAGCAAGTTACTGCATTCCTACCACCCCTGAAAGTCTTGTCCAAAAACATGTTTTAGTTTAAGTTGACTGGCGGTTTGGCAAACAAAAGGCTGAAATATGGCACTGTGACTCAAATTCAAACCCAATGCCTTAAAATTAAGGGTGTGCTGTTGCCAACCCCCTGGTGGGTCGTGATGTGCCTGAGAAGCCTGGCCCCTTCACTGGGTTCCTCTGCTGCAGTGACCTTGGATTAATTTGGCACTGCACAGACCCGGCGCCTTCCTCGGATGGAGGGTGGCCGCTGCCACCTGGGTCTTAAAACCAGGGGTTCTGTTTTTCCATTGGGACAGAGAAGCTGGGATGGAGGGAAGGCGGCCAGTCACCCCAGAGGCAACAAATCAAAAGAACAGAGCCATTGTGAGCCTATTTGAAAAGGACTCGCAGAAATGGTTGGGAATTGTGAGAATCCACTGCAGGGCATTAACATTTGAGGGCACAGGGTGGGGTCCTTCAGTGACTGCGGATTAGGCTGCCAGTGATTTTTACAGGAGAAAGTCTGTGTCTCTTAGAATTTCTGGCTTTCGGTCCTAACAAGCACTCGTGTCTGGGTACCCACAGAAGTGGGGAGCTACCTGAAGAAGTAAGGGTGCCTGCAGAACCATGGAAATAATGGAGTGCATGCAGAAGTAGGTGCTCCCCACTTGCGTGAGCACCCTCCTGAGAAAATGAGGGATGGCCAAGAGCCCAGAACAGTGGTGTTTTGGACCATGGACTCCTAAACAAACAATGTAAGCATGGACTCTCCATTTATGTGTGCTCATAAATTCATCTGTGAATCACCTACCTATAAAAGGTAGGTATCTGCCCCATCATGTTGCTCAGAGAATTCAAACTGAATTTAAATGCTTTCCAACAGTGCCTGGTTACGTGATAAGCACTCGATGAGAATCACTTGTTGCCATTAATATCCTCATCTTTCGGGTCCTGATTACAGGCATTAGAAAACACACAGTAGAAAGATGATAGAAATAATAGAGATTAAAGATGAAATGGAGAGATTGATGTTTTATGGTTTTTCTGCCTACTTTCCTCTCCCGTCCCACTTTGGAGACCACAGGATCAAATTTTTTTCTTAAGGACTCAGAATCTAACCCTATCCCACCATGGGCCCAGAAATATATTTTATACAAAAATTCTGTCTAGTTTCTAGGTTAAGTCAGGTGCTTACTATGCAGGGGGTGGGAAATGATAAATTGGACAGGTGAGCTGACTTTTAAATACCAATCAGCAGACTTTTTTCCCATTCAAGGAGGTAAGTTCCTGAGAACATTTGGCACTGTATACTAAGTGCTCCAGTTGAGGGTAAAACAGAGGGGTTTTTTTCCAGTATCTGTAAGCTAGGATCGGAAAGCCCCTCAGGTCCACTGATGGAGGAGCTCCAGTAGCAAGAAGTTGACAGCATCCTCCTGCTAGATCCCCGGAGATCACAGACTC